ACAATGCAAACGAAGACGATAGGCCTGCGCGCGAGAGACTGAGAGCGGGTGTGTCTGAACACGAGTGAGTCTGATTGTGAATGAGTCTTCGCGCGCGTGAGTCTACGCGCATAAATGTCGACGCCCATGTCAGGGCGCCCCTCACGAAGATCGCGCCCGCTTCATTCCCGTTGTGTTTCTGCCTCTGCCCGCGCACGCCAATGTCCAAGGCTGCGGACGCGGCGCCGCACGGAGTCCCCGCGACGCACGCCGGTCGCCCTGAAGGGGCCCCCCTGGGCAGAGCGACGACGGGGGCGAGCAAGGCGATGGGCAGAGCGCGGCATGGAGTTCCCGCGACGCGCGCTGGTCGCCCCGAGAGGGTCCCAGCGACGCGCGCGGGTCGCCCGCGGCGCAAGGTCAAACAGTCAGACCGTCGAGAGACGGCGAGGCTCGGGCGGGCCGCTCCCCAGGTCAAGCCTCGCGGATGAACTCGGAAAAGCCAAGCTCCCAGGCGGGGGCCGTCGCCTCTCGGTTGTGCCAGAATGGGGCGGCGCCGCCATTCGAGTTCCGCCGCTGGGACCTTCGGCGGAGTTCCCTATGAGGGAGGCGGCAACACCATGCGAGTTCCGCTACCAGGGCCTCAGGTGGAGCTCCCTATGGGGCCACGAAACGTGTGAAGGGTGCGCCAAAATGGGGCGGGGCCGTCATGCAAACTGGGCCACTGGGACCTTCGGTGGGGCTCCCTATGGGTGTGCCTGAATGGGGCGGCGCCGCCGTGTGCGTTCCGCCGCTGGGACCTTAGGAAGAGCTCCCTATGGGGCCACGAAACGTGTGAAAGGTGTGACAAAATGGGGCTGGGCCGCCATGCAAGTTCCGCCACTGGGACCTTCGGTGGAGCTCCCTATGGGGCCACGAAATGGTGAAGGGCGTGCCAAAATGGGGCGGGGATGCCATTCGAGTTCCGCCACAGGGACCTTAGGTGGAGCTCCCTCTGGTTATGGGGCCACAGAACGTGTGAGGGGTGCGCCGAAATGGGGCGGGGATGCCATGCGAGTTCCGCTACCAGGGCCTCAGGTGGAGCTCCCTATGGGGCCACGAAATGTGTGAGGGCGTGTGCCAAAATGGGGCGGGAATCCATGCGAGTTCCGCCACTGGGACCTTAGGAGGAGCTCCCTACGGGGCCACGAAACGTGTGAGGAGTGTGCCAAAATGGGGCGGGGATGCAATGCGAGTTCCGCCACTGGGACCTTAGGTGGAGCTCCCTATGGGGCCACGAAGCGTGTGAAGGGTGTGCCAAAATGGGGCGGGGATGCCATGCGAGTTCCGCCACTGGGACCTTAGGTGGAGCCCCCTTATGGGGTCACGAAACGCGTGAGGGTGTGCCGAAACAGAGACATGCGGCGGGCAGAGGCAAAGAGGGGGAGGAGGGAGGGGGGCGGCGGGAGAAAGGAACGCGGGGCGCTGTCTCTTCAAAACGAAGACCCAACACCACAGGATGGTTGGGTACATGACAACATCGGCCAGAAATAAATGTTCTAGGAACATGTCGTAGAAACCACAAGTGGTTCTTAGAACATTGTTTGGTCGGCTAATAGGCACGCCAGGACGCTTCGCCACTGCTTGCATCTGCTGACCCCCACACTCAGCCTTCGACGCTCCTCCGCAGCGTCCTGATACGAACTTACGGCTCGTACGGCAACCCTGCCACTCACGTGCCTGCCTCGGGCCTGCCTCGGACCTGCCTCGCGGCTACGACGCGCGCTCCGCCAAGGCAACCGCCACCCTCGCCCTGCGCGCCAACGACATCAGGGGCGCCTTGGGCCTTGGGGCCCCCCAAGCGTGCACGTGGAAAGATGTCCTTTCCCACGCTGGACCGCGCGGGGAACCCTTCCTGCACAATGACCCCAACTTGTTTGAGCGACGCCTGTTTCACCCCTCACTAAGGTTTTCTGATGCCCCTGCCGCCGCCCCCGAGGCCGCGGGCGCGCCTGCGCACTCCGACGCTGCCATCGGCGCAGGCAGCGCGTCTCCAACGCCCGCTTCCTGCGGCAGGTCCCCCAGCGCTCACCAAGCCGTCCCCGTGCGCTTCCCCAACCCGATGGGTTCCCTTGGGGCCGCTCGGCGCTTTGGCTCGCGACCAGGCCCGACCAGGGGCGCCCGGGCTGGCCGCGACCGCAGCGCCATCGGCGCCCGTGGCCGGCCCAGCGCCCGAGGACACGAGAGGCGATCCATCTGCGGCTCCCGCGCCCGGCCACGCGCACGCCGCCGACCGTTCGCGCTCCGCTGGCCCCACCATTGGTGACGGCTCCTCCTACGCCCCCACGCGCCCCGTCCTCCGGCTGGAGGCCCACCGATCCGTTCCGGCGCGGCCGTCAGGCCCACCCCGACCGCCGCGCTTCCGCCTCGGGCCTGGCGCCGTCCCCGAGCCCTGCGCCTCTGCCGCCGCCGCCTCCTTCCCTCGCCCGCGGGGGCCTGCCTGGGGTCCCCCTGGCTGCAGGCGCGGGGGCCCACCCTCGGCCAACCCCATCGCCACGTCGGCCGATCGCCCTCACGCCAGCGAACCTCCGCGCGCCCCGTCTCGCCCTCCCCGCGCACGCGCCTTGCCACGGACGGGCCTGCCAGCTTGTCGGGATCAGCCGGCGCCTCTGGGGACGCCCAGATCCAGCGGTTTTACTCCAACGTGCTTGTGATCTACTGCCGTTGCACCACCCCTGGTGACCGTTTCACTGCTGTCGAGTGCAGGACTCCAGTCTAAGGGCGGGCTGACCATCGAGGGCACCACCTGCCCGTCGCAGCAAGCCTACTCTGGTGCCGAGCTCGGGGACTTTGTTCGTTCCCCTCGACTTCAGCCTGCTGGCTGGTGCCACTTCCCCTCGCCCCCCGCCCTGCGGAGGGCAGGGCCCCGCCAGTAAGGGACCTGCCTCGTGGAAGCGGCCCGCCTCCCGCCCCAACTACCAGCATTCTTCGCGTAGCCGCCGGTGATCTCCGCTACGACGGAGCCAGCGCCATCTACCACGGAAGGCTTCCCAGCACGAGTCCACCGCCCGACCTCCCAGCCCCACTGGCCCCAGCGAGCGCGCCTTGGCTCCCAGAGCGCCCCAGCCACTGGGGCTCAGCGCGCCGCTGCTAACACACCGGTGGCCCCTGCCGGGGCCCTCCTGGGAACCTTCCCGTGGTCCCTGTCCTCGCAGGGCGGGCACCTGCCCCCACGGGAGAGATTGGGACGTTAGGCGGTGGCGAACGGGCCCCTCATTCCGGACCTCACCTTTCGCAGCGACCAGCTCTGCCCCGAGGAGAGCACCCGCAAACTCAGGGGAAACTCTGATGGAGGCTCGTAGCGATACTGACGTGCAAATCGTTCGTCATACTTGGGTATAAGGGCGAAAGACTAATCGAACCATCTAGTAGCTGGTTCCCTCCGATGTTTCCCTCAGGAGAGCTGGAGTTGAACAGTTTTATCAGGTAAAGCGAATGATTAGAGGAATCGGGGGCGCGTTGTCCTCGACCTATTCTCAAACTTTGAATGGGTAAGATGCCCAGCAGGGCCCTTCTCGCTGCGGCCCCTGTGCCACCGCCACTGTCGACCCCCCCTGCGCGGTTCCAGGACCACTCCACCGCTCCGCCTCCGCCTCCCTCCCTATATATATATATATATATATATATATCCAATTATAAAACTTTAGTGTCGAGAGAAGAAAAAGTTCTGGACATCACCTTTCGCGACGGCCAGCTCTACCCCGAGGAAAGCACCCGTGCGCGATCCGAGTCTTCCCTCGCCCCCTCCCTGCCCGGCCCCCCCTCTTCTGGGGGGCCGGTTCGGGCCGCTCCCTCAGGGACCGCCCATCGGCCGCCACCGTTTCTGGCGCGCCGCCCGGCCCCGCCGGCTTTCGCGGCTCCTTGGGCCTGCGACCTCTGGCGGCTCCGCCGCCTTCAGCTCGCTCTCCGCCGTCGCCCCTTGATGCAGTCCTTTGCTGGTCCACTTCTAGTTCCTCGCTCTCCCCGCCTTCCAGTCCCGGTTGGCTTATGTCATCTTCTTCCATCACCTCAATATCGTCCGCATAATTTCCCCTCCCCGCCATCCAGGCCAGGATGGTTACGGCTGCTGCCTGCCGCGACCGAAAATGATCTCCGAGAGCTCGGCTGGGCGAAGACGCGCGCGTTCCGCTGCTTGCACTCGACATTCTACGCTCCGTCGCAGCGCGCGGGGCCGCGACGCCAAAAAGTCAAAGTGTGTGTGTGTGTGCGCGCGCAGACATGAACATGCAGAAAGCAGAGGAAGCGAGAGGAGGATCATGAGAAGGAAAAGCAGGAGGAGGAGTGAGGCGAGTGAGACGCGCAGCGCTGCGGATCAACAACGAGGACCCAACAGCACAGGAGGGTTGAAACATAGCATGTCAATCACAACTGCCAGGTGACTGCAAGTCTCAATCACAACTGCCAGGTGACTGCAAGTCTCCAGCAGGGCCGAAGAGGGCCCCAAAGTGGCAAGAGTACGGTCCAAGACAAGAGGCGGCCAACATAACCCAAGAAGCTCCGCAAGAGGCCCTAACTACGGCCCACGAAGGCCAAAGAGGCTGCCAAGACGGCCCGAGGGGTTTACGACATGTCCCAAGGTGTGTCTAATCATGGGGACCCAAGGCGCCCAAAGATGGCACGAGACCGCCAAGACAAACCTGGGGATCCAATGGCCTCAGAGGGCCCCATAAGCCCCCATGATAAGCCCAGAGGAAAAAACAATTGAATACCATGATCCCCAATGCCCTCACAATTGTTTGCGCGATGGCTAGGGGGACGCACACAACTTAAACGTGTCCAATGTTTGGCCTAACATTTCGGCACACCGGCGCTCCCGGAAGGGCATGAGGTGGCAGTGCCTTGACGCTGGATATAGTCGATGATATGATGTCCACGGGTGTGAAAATTAATTTTGTTGTTCAGAATCCACGTACCGTGTCATCTTGATGTGACAACTCCTTCCACACCGTGTCCTGCTACCGTGGCAACTCCCTGCCCCTCTGGACATCAAAGAGCACGAGTATCATGTCTACCCTGTCTGCGAACCACTTGGTGACGGCCTCGCGGATACAGAGACACCGCCGCACGAAAACACATTAAAGGAATATAGATGGACCGCTGCCAACTGCAATGGTGTCCACAAACTAAGGGGCAAATCAGGAATACACATACCCTCGCCACGCGCGGCACCGAGCTGAAAAATCAGATGGCACCCGACATGCAATGGAGACGCGGCCGCAAGAAACCCTCGCAAGAAACCCAACCCTGAAAATCAGAGAAGTTCCTTCCCCAGAGTCTGGGTTCCCTTGTCTTAGGTCGGGCAAGTCTCTCAATAGGTGGATTTTGGACGAAAAATGGAACATACCCCAAATAGATTCAAAGATGGCCAAACATGAAAATAAAAAATACCATCGTCTCCATACTTTATCTGACTATTTTGGAATTCCCCCTGTAGAGGGGCAGGCCCGCCTTAATCCTAGTCTGGGGCTCCCAAAGAAACAGCTCGGGGCACCCCGGCCCGAACCGCAGGCACCACGCGGATGCGCCGCGAGACCACGCGGCCCGTGCTGGTACGTGCAGAGCCCGGCGGGGCACCCGAAGAAACTGACCACGTGCACTTTTTCTCATTCGGTGTTTCGACAGTGGGTGGAAGGGGGGGATGAGGATGAAAGGCATCTTACGTAGAAGGAGGCTGCTTCTTAGAAGGCGCGGGCCTTGCATCTACAGGCAAGGCCCGCGCCTTCTACGAAGCAGGGGCGCTTCTTCTAAGAAGCCTTCCCCCCTCCCCCTACGCCCCTCTGCGCGTGGCTGCATTTCGACAGTGGGCGGATGGGGGGGACGAGAGGGGAGCGGTTGGCTCTGGGCCTCTGCTCAGAGCGGCCGTTTGCAGCAGTGCGTCCGATGGGGGAGGACAGGCGCAAAAAAACAGCCGAGAGCTGCTCCATGGAGGGAGGGAAGGGGGGGTGCGAGGGCCCGCGCCGATCGGCAAAACAATGAATACGAAAACGATCACCAACTGGTGCGACTCCACATCGTCTGCCCGCGGGTCGCAAGGCCGGACCGGAGCACACAACCCCCACGCACGACGGGCCAGGGGGCAGCACAACGATGTTCTCCGCACCGGCCCCACGGCCACCCACGGGACGGACAGCCCGCACGCGAGGCTGCCGTCCAGAGCGAAGAAGGACTCGCGGATGCCCCGCCCCCCGTCCTCTCCTCCTCATGCAGTCAACCCGTATAGTAAGGAGCCGCGATAAGGCTGCAGGGGCCCTGGAAGCCCATCTCGAAGCTTTCCGAGCGGGGCGCGGCCAGCGAAAGTGGCCGAGGACGGGCCGACGAGGCAAGGGATGCAAGGGTGCCCTTGGGAAAATTGCCCATCCTTGCTATGCGGGTGGACTGTACTCAGCATCCCTTACGATGGGCAGATTTTCCACCACCACCACTACCATACGTAGGACGGGGGAGAAGGGAGGATGAGGAGGTCATCCTCCTCCTCCTCCTCCTCCTCCTCCTCCTCCTCCGACTCCTCCTCCTCCTCCTCCTCTTCCTCCTCCTCCTCCTCCTCCTACCCACCTATGGTAGTAGCGGTGGAAAATAGGCCCATCACCTCAGGCCTCCTCCTCCTCCTCCTGCTCCTCCTCCTCCTCCTGATGAATTCCTGATCTTCCTCTTCCTCCTCAAACTGCTGCTCCTCGCCGTCCTCGTAATTGTCTGTCCTCTTCCTTCATCCTCACCGTGCGCACCACCCTTGCATGCCCCATTCTTCTCCGCGCCCTGTACCTTTACCCTCCTCCATCCCCCCTCGAACCACTCCTCTCAAGTCCACCTCTCTTCGTCCCCTGGACCGTGCCTCCCCACTCAAGCTCTTGTGTTTCCTCCCTCCTTCCTATATCTCTCTGCTCTCCTCCATTCTGCCTCCCCTCCTCCTAGCCTCACTCGCCATTATCATCCCCCTCCTCCAGCTCCGAAATCTTTTTGCACCTCCTCCCAGACTCCTCGTCCAATCGATCCATACTCAACAAGCCCCCTCTGTTCCCTGCTCTTCCTCCACACCTCAGCGCATCACACTCCACCCATTTCATCCCCATCGTTTTCTGCATCCTCGTCTTCTTCAATCCCATCCTACTGCTTCTGACTTCCTCTTTCTCCTCTCCCTCCATATCCTCCTCCTCCCTCAAGCACATTATCCCTCACCCCTCCTCAACATGCTCCTCATAACTCATGTCCTGCACGTCATCCCTTCTTCTCATCATCCTTTCCCTCCTCCGGCGTTTCTTCATCCCCCTTTTCTTCCGTTGCCTGCTTCTCCTCATCGCCGTCCTCCTCCATTCCTTCCCCTTGTAAGCAACTCCTCCCTGTCGCACTCCGAGGCTGGTCGGAAGGGCGGGCTGGGCGTTTCGCCTGAGACTTCCTCATCATTTACGATCCTGAAGCTTAAACATTTGCAACCATTTCACAGATGAAAAGCGGTCCGTGTTAAAACATGTGGCTTTCCCTAGCGGCGAGCAAATTGGTTCACACATGCAAAAGCTTCACGCATGGAGGGCGGCCCCTTTTTAAAACGTGGCTCTCGCCTTAGCACTGCAAGCATTCGTTTTAAACATGTGTAAGAGTTTCACGGATGGAGAGTGGTTCCTTTCAAAATGAGGCTCTCGCTTCTAGCGCCGCGCACGTTCGTTCTGAAAGAGCGCAAGGGTTTCACGGATAGAGGGCGGTTCCTTTTCAAAATGTGGCGCGCATATTCGGTTTAAAACGTTGCAACATACTTGCGGATTCTCAGGGTTAACGTACCAGAAACGGTATTTTGGAACAAATTAGGATCGCCCTGACGTTGATTCGCGGTGTTCAAGTAGCAGGAATAGTGTTCTGGCGCGATTCGGGATCGTCAAGACGCAACATTCCGCCGACCCCCGCTTGCTCGGGATGAGAAGGCGCGTGAGATGATTGGCTGTCCCCCTCCCCCTTTCCCCCTCTCCCAGGGCCTCAAATCTCGTTGAAGGGGGGGAGGGCTATCGGGGCTGAACGGAGGGAGGGAAGGGGACAGGACAAACGATACAACAACACGACAACTCATCCTTCTCCTCCACCCACTCGGAACACTGTGGAATGAAGTCTGAACGTATGCAGTCCCGCAAACATGTGAAGCAAAGGTAACACATGCCGATCGGATCCGAAGCGACGCTAGTGAGCTACCCTGGTCATTCGCTCCCGGCAGCGCGCGTTGTTGACCTCGGCCAAGCCTCGTCTTCCACCTCCTCCATCTTTCGTTTCCTCCTCCTCCTCCTCTTCCGCCTCCTCCACCCCCTCCTCCTCCTCCTCCTCCTCCCTCCTCCTCTCCTCCTCCTCCTCCTCCCCCTCCTCCTCAACCTCCAAGTCCGCCCTCTCCCCCTTCCCCTGCACCTCTTCCCCCTCCTCCTGCCCCTCCCATTACCCCTCCCTCTCCCACTCTCCTTCGCCCTCCCCCTCCCCCTCCCACTCCTCCACCGCCCACCCTCCTCCTCCACTCTCCAGCCTCCTCCACCCTGCTCTGAGAGGCAAGAACCGGTCAGGGGGGACCAGGTCAAGCGGGAAACACCACCAGATCGGCCGGTAGATCGGACGTAAACCCTGGATAGCGAGCCCGCGCGCTCCTTGGCGGGGTGGGCTATTGGGACCCTACCTACGATGAGTGCGCGGTTAGGGGTCGAGGCATCCACCCCGAGGTTATCACCTCCAACATTACCGCCGGCCTCCAGCCTCCTCCCCGACGCTTCGATGGCAACTCGTGGGTGCTGAACTCTTGCGAGTCGACCTTAATCGGCGCTAAATCGACGACCATCGAAGCGAATCGACGCGAATCAACGCTTAGTCGGCGCATTCTCAACGACTACCAGACGCTAGTCGACGCTAAGCACCGTAGAGGCGGAATTACGAGGGTATACACGGCTCCCCTGATTTGCAACCGAAGACGTCAGACGACCCCGTGGCAAAAGTGACTGGCACCAAACCCTGCGGATAGACGCTGAAGAACCAGCTCCCAGGTGCTGATGCGAGACCACGGGCCATGGTCCAGGGCCTGTGATTGGGGGCGCCCTCAGACGAGGACGTCCCAAAGGGGGCTCCCATGATTTGCTGCCGAACCACGCGCCGCGGCGCCGCCGCCGGCCTCGAACTCGTAGCCCCGGTTCACCCGCTGCTTCTCGCCCGCCAGGACGCCAGGCTCGCCGCGGGTTTCGGGGGGCGGGCGGCAAGGCCGGGCAGAGAAACGGGATGGGGAGGAGGATACTCTAGATTTTTTTGTATACTAGTACCGCTCCAAGAGAATGCCCCGAAGGCTTCCAGAGGGAGCGACTCTGCGGAACCCGACCAGGAAGGGTCACCAGTAAACTGCCAACTCTGCGGTGCGACAACGCCTACGTCGTTCGAATTTCTTGGGGCGTTTCCATACGGCGGCTGGACGGGGCTGGCGCGGGTACCCCGACAAGGTCAGGTCGCACCCCCCTGGGAACAGCTTGGGTATACAAAAACCACCCCCCAGGAGGGGTTCCAATACCAAACCCAGGAGGGCCTGCGACACCCTCTCCCGCAACCCTGCTCGATGACCGCTCGGAGTCCCGTGCCATACCCTGGCGCCATGGCCAGCGCGATCTCGGCGTTGCAAGAACATGCGACGCATGACATGGGCCAGGCAGAAAAATCAGGGGGGCATGTTAGAGGGCGCGTCGCATCTCGGGCCCGCCAAAGCCCCGGAGATGTTAGGTATAGTATATCAAGAATTCTGGCGGAGAGGAGGAGGAGGAGGAGGAACAGGAGGAGAAGGAGGACGAGGAGGCCCCCGGGGGGCGAGACGGGCGAGGCCATGACCTCGCATTAAAGACTGCGCGCGCCGAGCGCCTACTCAGAGACATACGGCGTTGTTTCCCAAGTGTTCACACTCCTTTGTTGTAGCTGGTTGTAGCCACGTGGTGTCATTGAGGTCATCATGTCTTCGCGTTGCCTGGCGTCGGTTGTCTTCGGCGTGAGAATGGCGGAGAAACCTGCGAACATCATCATCTCATCTCTTCCACTGTCCTCCATGATGACGTTGTCTGGTCTGGGCGGCGTGTGGCCGTTGTTTCGCAGCGCGGGCTCCGCACCTCCATGTCGTATTCCGCCGCAGTGCCACCCAGTCGTGCACTTAGTGCTTGTGCATGAGAGCCTCTGCTCTTCTGGTCGCTCGCTTGATGGATTCAATCAGTGGGTCCAAATTGTCGCTCACGTGCTGGTTGTCCTGGTCGTCTCTGCAGTCGTTCTCTGCGTCGCTGGCTTCTTTGCTTGGGTGGGCGGTCGGCGGGTTGTCTACAGATTATCCGTCGGTGCTGCCTGCGCCAGACAAAGGGGCTGGTGTCGAAGCTGGCTCTTGCGTCGGCCCCACTGGGCGTGGGTCTGACGTCGGTGCTTCGTCGTCGATGGGGGCACTGACAACCATGCGCAACATGCGCCTCTGTGTGCGTTGAGGCCGTTGTCACAAAAGCTCGGCCAACATCCACGCGCCTGCGCCATAGAGAACTATCGGCTCGACCGTGCCGTCAAAAAGGCGGGGTCGCTGTTTCAGCGAGTAACGCTTTCCTGCGAGCTCTTGTCTGTGACTCGTGGAAGTTGCCCAACATGCCCTCCAGCGGTTTTCATATCCGTGGATACTGTGTCTCGTCGAAGCTGATGCGCTGACCCAACTACCTCACTGAACCGATCAGTGTATGATAAGATATCGATCTCGAAGCTGTCGATCGTCACCTTGCGTTGACGTGCATCCCCGTGCGTTCAGACAAGCTGGACAGGGTCTTCGTTTTGTCGGGATGTAGATGAAGTTCGTACGTCTGTGGTGCAGTGGCCGACGTCATAAGCTTCGCGGCTAGGCAAGGAGTGCCCAGCTCACAGTAGAACGTCGACAGCGAAGGGGAAGTTCGTGAGGCAACACCTTCATGGAAATCAAAATCGGATTCATTGCGCGTGTTGTTGCCACTTGGTGGCGAGCTGCCCCGTGATGTACCCCAGGAGCGACTTGACGAATCGTGATGTACTCCAGGAGCGACTTGACGAGTAGTGAGCTGAAGGGGGTCACCCTGTTTCGTGCCTCTCAGTGCATGGAATGGGCGGCGGGTCGATTCTGCCTGCACTCTCGCTGCCTGCTCAAAGCAGAGCCGTCAGCAGGTGGGCGCGCTCTGCTGCGACGCCCTGGCTGGTCCCATTCGCGTGCTCTTTCCTGGAGGACGTCCAATGTGAACACATTGTCTTGCGTAGATCATCCTAGGCGGAACCCTGGTTGATCTGGAAATTGCTGCTTGTCTGACAGGGGCTGCAATCTGGCGCGTCGAATTTTGCTGAAGAGAACGCGCGGCGAAGGCACGCTGCAAATTGGTCGGTAGTTCTGAGGTTTCGAAAGGTCCCCTGCTTTAGGGGCGACTGCGATGACCGCCCATCGCCAACTTTGTGGGGTTGGTGCGTCTGGTCGGAGAATCGCGCTGTAGAGCAATAGTAGAACTTGCTACAGCTGGCGGAGCATGTTGTACAATTTCCGCCCGGATCTCGCTCCGGCGCGGCGTCCACGAGCCTTTGGGAGATACATGGTGCCACGGCGTCGCCGTGATTGCCGAGCGTCGCGGCTGGTCGAGCGGAGTGGAAAAGTGCTCGTGGAAGTCTACAAAGACGTTAGCAATGGACTCTCTGCGCGCATGCATTTTGCCATCCGCCCCGCGCATTTCTGCGAGCGCCCGCCCCCGTCTCGATTTGATCACGCCGACTCGCTGGAGCCACCGGCATTCGCCCAAGGGTTTGCCAATCTGTGCTCGTCTCGTAGCCCGTTTGTTACGTCGCACTTCATGCTGGATGCGCTTGTAGATGCGCTGTCGCGCGTGCGTGTCCTGGCTGGGCGCGTTCTGTCGTAGCTGCATGAGTTATTGTAGGTGTGTCTGGGGCGGGCTGCGTGGTCGTGGTTGATCGGGCACCCTCCTGCTCGCCGATGCTGCGTCGACCATTGCTTTTTGGACGTGCTCGTTGAGCTTCTCTGGATGCAACGGCAGTCGCGATGTTGTCCGCGGCTGTCGTCGTGCACACGCCGTTGTTTATGCCATTCCATCCGCAGAGTGATCGCGCTTCGTGGTGCCCTCGCATGTCTCTGCTTATCTGTATTCCGTCGGTTGCCAGCTGGACGTCGCTACGGACCAAACTGCGCGGACGCGGCTTAGTCGTCCGACCCCAGATCCACTACGTTTCTCGCCTTTGCGTTACGAATGTCTCGGAACATGCGTCTGGAGGAATAAATGTAGTCGATCTACGGCGCCAATGTTGCGCGTGCACGTCGCCGGTGCCCGAGCCAGCTTGCGGATCAAGGCGTTGACACCAATGAGACGCTCTTGGGGCGCCCATGCGCGTAGCCACACTCCACTCGAGTCGCACTGCCCGTACATGTGGTCACCAACGTGCCTGGACTCGGCCATGGGCTCGCCGTCGAACTCATCGCCCTCGTCGTCGCTCGCTGGCCGGAGGATTGCTTCTAGGTGCCCGACTTGCGCGTTGAAAACGCCTGGGAAGACTGCGCGGTGCTTATGGTTGCGTGCTTCGGCGTGCAATGCTGGCATAAACGTGCACAAGCTCCGCACGCGGCAATTAATCGGAATACCCCGCGTGCGGAAAATACGCTGCAATCTGCGCGAGCTTAATAAAAACGTCGCATGCGAAGCGTTGCCAGTCTTGGGTTTAAAGAATGGGATTGTTGGGTGCGTTTCTCCCATCGCTTGTGCACCGACATGCCAACTCCATGGATGGGTTGTTCGCGATAGAGCCAGCGAACATACTGCTGCCCGTTAAATCTACATATATATACAGCCTTGTGGATGATGCGGGTCGGTGAACGGTCGAGGGTTGGAGGCGGACGGCGGTAGGCGCTGGGAATCGGGACTACGCGATCGGAGGTCGGTCGGTTGAGTAAGCGAGTCGGAGGGCGGAGGTGGAACGCACGATGCGGATAGCGGTTGGCGCTGGGAGTCAGCACCTTGCGGTTGGAGGTCGACTGGTTGAGGTCACGGGTCGGCGGGCGGGGGGCGAGAGCTGGGGGCGGACGAAGGCGGGAGCTGGAGTCGGAACTTGGCGATTGAAGGTCGGTCAGTTGAGCTTGGAAGTCGGAGCGTGGAAGTTGGAAGCTGGAGGTGGCAGATTTTTTTGGGGGGGTCCTAGGTGCAATCGGACGCTGGGGGTGCGAGTGGGTAGCTGCGGGGTGGAAGATGAAAATGAAGAGCTGGAGTCTGCGTTGAAATGCGCTGGGTGTCGGAGCCACCTGGCTGGGTTCAAATCCTACGCGTCGCCGCCGAAGAATGCAGAATCGAACGTCGCCGGAATCGACGTCGCAAGCTTCTCGTACTCCCCCTTTTCCTACCCATGTTGGATGCTGGAGGTGGGAATGCTGAGCCGGGGGGGCGGCTGGAGGTCGGCGGGCGGAAGTGGAAGTGGAGTCGAACGGTGGAGGTGGGAGGTGGGAGCGCTGAACTGGCGAGCGCTGGGAGTCGACGGGCGGAAGTGGCAGCGGAAACATTGATGCTGGACGCCGGAGGTCGGAATGCTGAGCTGCTGAACGCTGGAAGTCGACGCGGAGGCGGGCGCGCCCCCCCCCCCCCCCCCCCGGCCTCGCGCCAGCGGCGGCCCGCGGGCAGGCCCGCAGGCCCGCGGCGCTCGCAGGGCCCACGGGCGCCTCGGCAGCCTCGCCAGCTGCGTGCGCCGACAGGCTCACCAGGCGCCTCGCCCTCTCCAACCGCGATCTCGTTTGCTCGAGGGCGGCCTGGGCCAGGTGGCGCCACTCGTCGCAATCGCCCAGGGCGCGGCGCGCATTGCCGAACTTCCCTGCACGCTGCGCGGCGGCGCGGCACGCCTGGATGGCCCCATCGACGCCTCCTGCCGCATTGGTCGGTCTGCTCTGAGCCCTCGCCGCTGGCGTTCCATTCGAACTGCTGCTGCGCCCGCCCCTTGATCTGGCGCAGCTGCCCTGCCGGCCAGGTTCAAGCCCTGCGCGGCGCGGTCTTGCCGTTGCCCCTGGCGACCCAGACGTCGGGCAGCGGGGCCTGCTTGAACTTGATGGGCCGCCCCGCAGCTGCAAGTCCTCGGCGCCTCTGCCGACGACGCCCTGGAGGTCGGCGCGCGCGGCGCACAGCCACGCAGCGCATGCGCTGTGAACGGCCGTCTGCTTCTCGT